GGATGGAGGGAGCGCCCCTGGGATCTGCTTTCACCGATGTTGTGTGCATCACAACCTGGCCCCTGGCGTCCGAGAGGGATGGGGGGATGCTACCTGCCCCTTTGATGTGATGGCATCGATGAGGTTGTGTCCAAGTCCAGTTGTCCCCGCCGCAGCACAAACATACAGTGAGGAGCCCCTGCACGCATGAGCAAAGTTGTAACTCGGAGCAGTGTAAGGTTTTAGTGCCCCCCATTTACTGCTCAGATGCTGTACCCCTTAAAGGAACCTGGCTTAAAGGGAGGATTTTTCCAGCTGGGAAGCACAGACGCATGCATGCAGCAGCTCTGTTCAGCCTGGCAGAGACGCACAGATGCATGCAGTGATGCAGTGCCATGTTGGACAGGGCTTGGAGCAACCTGGTCTACTGGAAGGTGTCCCTGCCTGTGGCAGGGGATTGGAACTGGATGAGCTTTAAGGTTGCTTCCAACCCAAACCATTCCATGATTCATGACTGCCAGGCTGCACGGGTCACAAGGTCGGTGATGCTGTTACCCTTGTTGCTGCTGCCATGCCTTTGTTGTGTGCTCCAGCACCAGGCAGACCCTATCCCTTGCCGAGCCAGGGCTGGTAGGTTGTAGGGAAGAGGCAGGCTCATGGCGCAGGGTGGACAATGGTTTCTGCAGTGCAATAGTCCATGTGTGTCCAGTCTGCTCCATCTCAGTTACTGGAATTACATGTTCACCTCTCCTGTGGCACTGGGAGAGCTCCTGCACGGGTCCCTTGGCTTTGGCTGCAGCTGCACTCCTGCAGGGTCTCCTCTGGCATCAATTGCAGGAGAGCGCAAAGCTTGCGCCCCACAGCAAAACCAGCTGCGTCCTCGCAGCGACTCTCAGGTTCCCTTTGTGCGGCGGGGGCACAATAAGGAGCCTGTTCCCGGCTCCTCCGCTCCCCCGTGCTACCACAATGCGCCCGGGTCCGGTGTCCGTGCGGCTCCTGGAGCGGATCAATGGGGTTCGCAGGAAGCTTAACGTGCCGTGGCCGCATGCTGCGCAGCCTTCCTCCCCCGGCCCATCAGCTTTGTGCCCTTGGGCCGGGGGTTTGGAAGCAAAGTCTGACACATTCAATCATCTTTTCATAAGCTGACAGCTCGCCGCGTGTGAAAGCGAGGCGCAGCTCCGGCTCTGAGCAGGGATAAAGTGCCGGGAGAATTCCGGGTCCGGTGCGCACGCGAGGGGTGGGGTGCTGCGAACTGTCAGTGTCTGGAGTGATATCCAAAATTGGGGTTTAAGAGTCGTGGGTTGTTGCCTGGGGTTAAAACTGATCTGAGGTTGTGTGTGGTGCACGAATCCCTGCACCGGTATTTCAGGATTCAGCTCCAGTCCAGCAAGAGTGGAAAACCCTCCCAATACATTGAAACAAAGCTAGGAACATGTGTGGTTGTGACATGGGAAAGTCACTGTGCTCTTGCCCTGTGCCCTCACGAGTCGGCTCTGTGACAGAAGAGGTCCAGGGGGAAGAGGGGGGCAACAGAAGTTGGGGCCCTCCAAGCTTGGGGACCTCCTTTCTGAAGCCATCTCCTGTGGTGTTTATTTGTGGTCTGAGCATCCTGATCAAGGGATTTCCTTCCTTGTGATCCTGGAGGTTCTTCTGTTTTCTCCTCCTCCTGTGTGCCTGGCACATCCTGAAGCTGCCCCTGTCTCTTGGAGTACTTACGGGTCATTGCTTTGTCCCGTCCGTGCTTTGTGGAGCTTTCCTTCCCGTGGGTCTGCTGATCCTTGCCAGGCTATTCTCTTGGGGAAGTGGATGTTGGCGTCTCCTGTCCAAAAGAAGGAAGGGCTGGGAGGGAGAAGGGAATGTGCAGGGATCTGTAGGTTTCCCAGGAAGGGTGCCTGTGCTCTGCCTGGTGCTTGCAGGGAAGACCTTCCCGGGGAAGCATGGACGTCTCCCGAGTTTAATGCTGGAGGTTAATAATAATCGCACCAGGCAGCACATCATTGCCCCCGTATCTGGTTGAGAGATTTACAACTGAAACTCGTGGCGGAGGAAGAAATTGCCTCAATCACTTGGAGTAATGGCACATGGAGAGGCACTTGGGCGTGACTGCTATTTAACACGAGAGCCCAGCTTGGCTTCATTTAACGTGCCGGTTCCTTTCTAATAAACACGTTACACTACAAGGTGGGGATTAACATCAGGAAAGTAAATAAATTGGAAACTGATGAGGAGAGATGGAGGGAAATGGAAGGTGCTGGGGGGGGCGTGATGAGGGATTAACTCCTGTGCTGGGCTGTGGGGAATGACCCTCCAGACCGTGGCTTCCCCAGCAATGTGTGGGCACCTCCGGGCACTGCGAGTGCCAGGCAGCTCTGTGAGCATCTCCCATGCCGAGGCAGGACCGATGCCGGAGCCTGGGAGATGGCTACGCTTCCCTTCTCAGGGACACTGAGGCAAGCAGCTGCTTCTGCTTTTGGCTTGTGATTGCATCCAGGTCAGTCTGCCGCAGAGCAGGGTGCGGGTGCCTTGGAAGAGGCTCTGCAGGGAGGAATAGGGCACTGCTGGGGAAAAGGGGGCTGAGAGTTGAGGTCATGGGCAAGAGTTTTGGGCTTTTTTCTGGTTTACATGCATTATGATCAATGCCCCTTTCCCAGCGAGGGACCTCCCAGCTCTGTGTGCACATGGGTTTGCGGGGCACTGTATGAGTTTGGGGGGAAACTGGACTTGAGCATGGGCTGGGCAGAGGGGTCGTGGGGAAGAGCCTCGTGGTGCTCTGGGGAGCTCAGGGCCTTCCAGAGCCGGCTGTGGTGCAGCCCATTGGGAAATGGAGGTGGGCAAGGGAGGAAAGCCCTGAGAGAAGGGGCATCCCTTTGGCTTTGGCTGCCACATGTGACCAGCTCTGCTGTCTTGCTTCACCTCTCAAAGCAAAACAGCCTCACCTCCAAACCCTCTGCTGTCTGGGGAGGTCTCCAAAGGCACCGGCACGCAGTGAACCTGGGGTGGGATTTGGGAATGCTGCAGCCTGGCGTTCCCTGCTTGGGGCAGACACGCTGTCCGGTGCCACTGCGGGAATTCAGTCTCTTAACCAACCCAGTAGTTTTTACTGTATGTGTTAGAGAAGTAACAAAAAAGTGCAATGCACCAGTTGACAGGGAGGGCTGGGGGGTTAATTTTCAGGATGCTGCCTGGGAATTTAGCCGTGGGATTTCCATTATTGCTAATGGGACTCAAGCAGCTTAATTTCATGTGAGCTACGCTAAAAACGTACCCCTAACCGCCTGCAAAATCCCAGCCCTGAAATGGAGCCTTTCAGAAGTTGGAGGAGGGTAAACAACCACCTGAACCGGCATTGCCTCGCTATTCCCCCCCCCCCTTCCCCTGTTGCTCAGATTTAGAAGCCAGGGAGGGGGAGGAATTCGAGCAGTTTGAGGCAATTCCCAGCCCAGGAAGCACTGCCTGAACGCGCACCGCATCCCTGCTCTTGCCAATTACATCAGCGAGTTATAACCCCCCAAAAACAGGGGTAGCGGCTGCTTCCCTTAGTGCACACCATGAGCATCTAATAGCCCCAGCAGCGCCGCCTTCCGTGGTGGGGCCGCCGTTATTAGGCTGTTCTCGTTAAATGACTGCTATCATCTGCTCCCAAAGTACATTAAATCCCATTATAATTATAAACACACTTCCCCATAACGTTCTCCTTAGATTACATTTGCGCTGCTTTACCCCAAGGGGATCTTTGTACTAATACCGTCCGTAGTTGTTGTTTTAGCTGACGACGCTGGGCCCGGCGCTGCCTGCGTTGAACCACGGTGCTGCTGGGCAGGGAGAGAGGAAGAGGTCTGTGTCGCTGCAGCCCCAAAGGCGATGTGGGGGTTTCAGTGCTTCAGTGCTCCCCTTGGCATGGGGCGTTTGTTGGCAGCATAGTGTCGTGGCTAGCATTACCCTTCCCCTTGTTCTGCTCCCTTTGCAGTCTTTGCTGGTGGACCTTTGCTGCCCGACCTGAGGTGTGGGGACCTGCGGGAACCCTACATCAGTGCGGGGTACACGTCTCATCTGGGCTGAATGTGCCTCGTTGGGGTGACGTGCGCCTGGCAGAGGGCATCTCGTGGTGTTTTGTGGATGCTGGCGGCGTGGCCAGCGTTCCCTCTCCCATTGTTTCGCTCCCTTTGGGAGCTGCTGTTGCCAGTCTTCGCCCGTCTCCCACCCGGGGTGCTGGAACCGTGCACACGGGAGATGCTGACGCGGGGTACGCACGGGGTCGGCGCAGGACGCGCCCCGTTGCGGTGACTTGTGCTCCGCCGAGCCCGCACCACGGCCATCGACGAGACCCGGTGGGGCTGCGCCCGAGCCCCGGTCCCCCCGCGGCCGCTTTTGTCTCGCGTGGCGGGGGCCGGGGGCAGCCTCGCTGCTCCGCTCGCGGGCGGCGGCGGCTCCTCCATGTTTGCTGGCGGCAGCGCTGTCCGGCCGCCGCCCGGTGCCGCCCCGCAAGGTGCCGGTGTGCGGGGCGGGGCGGGGCCGGGGGGGGGCGCCCGCACGCAGGACCGGGCGGCGGCGGCGGCGGGGGGCGGGGGCCGCCTGACGTGGTGCCGGGGCGGCCCGTGGGCCGGCGCCGCCGTGATTTGCTGCTTGGCGCGGCGAGCGGCGGCGGCGGCGATGAGAGCGGGCAGTGCGAACTGCCGGAGCAGCCGCCGGCCGCCGTGAGTGCGGGACCCCCCCGCGGGCACCGGCACCCGCCGTGCACCTGATGGGGCTGCGCGGGCGGGACGGGACGGGGCGGGCTGGGCGCGGACGGGGCGCGCGGGAGGCGGCGGAGGCTGCGCCCGGTCCGCGGGCGGCAGCGGCGGGGACGCGGCTCCCCGAGCCCGGCGAGAAAGTTTGCGGCGAGTCGCCGCCGGCTGCGAGCTAACGGCGCCCCCTTTGCTCCCCGCTCCCCCCCCCCCGGTGCTCCTCTTGTGCCCCTTCCCTCCCGTCCCTCCCTCCCGCTCCTCTCCGCTCCTTTCCCCCTCCGCCTTTTGTTTCCGCAGATAGCCGGCACACAAAGCTGGTCCCGCATTCGGCCGCCGGCGAGGCACCCTGATGAGCGAGCCCCGGGCGCGCCATGGATGTGACTAAGATGGGCACGATCCAGCTGCAGAACCCCTGCCACCCCACCGGGCTGCTGCACAAAGCCAACCAGATGCGCCTGGCGGGGACGCTGTGCGACGTGGTCATCATGGTGGACAGCCAGGAGTTCCATGCGCACCGGACGGTGCTGGCCTGCACCAGCAAGATGTTCGAGATCCTCTTCCACCGCAACAGCCAGCACTACACCCTGGACTTCCTCTCGCCAAAGACGTTCCAGCAGATCCTGGAGTACGCCTACACCGCCACCCTGCAGGCCAAGGTCGAAGACTTGGACGACCTGCTCTACGCCGCTGAGATCCTGGAGATTGAGTACCTGGAGGAGCAGTGCCTGAAGATCCTGGAGACCATCCAGGCCTCCGAGGACAATGACACCGAGGGCGCCGCTGCCGATGGAGGCACCGCCACCGAGGAAGAGGAGGAGAGGAAATCTAGGTACATCAAGGGCCTCTTCATCTCCAAGCCCGCCAGCGAAGAGAGCGGCTACGCTGGGGTGGCCGGCCAGAGCCTGCCAGTGACCACGTCGGAGCAGAGCCCCACCGCCTCGGCTTCCTTCGGCCCCCTCTCAGCCATGAGCCCCACCAAGGCGGCAGTGGACAGCCTGATGACCATTGGGCAATCTCTGCTGCAGGGCACGCTGCCGCCCGCCGGCCCCGAGGACTCGCGCCCCGCAGCCGCCCGTCGCCCCCCCAGCCTCGCCGAGGCCAAAACCGAGGCGATGCAGGTGGACGACACCTCCGGCCGTGGGAGCCCCCGGGTGACCGAGCCTGGCGCCTCCGGTGCGGAGAAGCCTGACGAGAAGGGCAAGGACGGGCCCGGCACCCCGACCCGTGGCAGCGTCATCACCAGTGCCCGTGAACTGCACTATGCCCGCGAGGAGGGCGCCGAGCTGCCACCTGAGCCCGGCCAGGGGCTGCCGATGGGGCCGGAGCCATCCGCTGCCGCCCAGGGCGAGAAGCCACTGGGCATCTACTCCCTGCTGCCGAACCACAAAACTGAGCCGGTGCTCGGCGTGCCGCCCACCGTGGCGTCCGCCCTGCACGTGCAGCCGGCCCTGGCCGTCTCCATGGACTTCAGTGCCTATGGGGGGCTGCTGCCCCAGGGCTTCATCCAGCGGGAGCTGTTCAGCAAGCTGGGCGAGCTGGCAGCCGGCATGAAGACGGAGAGCAGAGCCCTTGGTGAGCAGTGCAGCGTGTGTGGGGTAGAGCTGCCAGACAACGAGACCCTCGAGCAGCACCGGTGAGTGCCCAAGCCACGATACTGCCTTTGCCCTGGGTGGGAAGGAGGGGGCTTGACTTGGGATTGGGTTTCCGGACGGGTATCGTGTGTGCTGGTGCAAAGTTCTTGCTATGTACCCCAAAACCATGCTCGCAGGGACAGCTGTTGCAACTGTCCCACGTCCAGCAGCCGTGCCAGAAGGTTCTTTCTAGCAAGCACTGGTCGGGAGGGCAGCCTGGATGGGGCTTTGCTGTAGGTGTTTCCCACTAGCATGAACCCCAGTGGTTTCCCTGGCCAGCATCTGCTGAATGGTTCATGTTGCTGCCCTTTGAGTTCGGGGCTCTGCGTATAAAGGGATGCTGTGGGGTTGGGCAGCCCTCGCCCACCCGCTACCAAGAGCCGATCCGTCCTGCGCCATCACCATTGCATCCATGCGGGGCTGGGAGGGAGAGACCGATGGGATCCCTGTGCCTGGCTGCAGCGGTGACGTTCGGGATGGCTGCGTGCAGCGCCCTGTTCCCTGCGGTTCCGTGCTGCTCGGTTCAGGGGATGTTTGCACTTTGCACGAAGTAGTGTGTGGGTCAGGCTGGGCAGCGCGGGGCAAGAGCAGTGGGTCCGGCACTGTAGGCACTGGCTCCGGATTGAACCTCTGGTGGCTGTGGGTGTGATTTCGGGGCTCCCCTGCTTGGGATGGGGTGGTCTTCGTGCTCTCCCATGCCTCAGGACCTGCTGCGGGTGGGAGCGCAGTGGTGGTTGTCGGTGGCGTGTGAGTTCAGTGCTCTCCTGTTTGCTGCCTCCTGATAGCAGCAGCAGGGACCGGAGCTCCTTCCCACATTTGCCTGGGGAATGGAGCCACGTTGATCACAGCACCTAAATCAGCGTCGCTGGTCAGCCCCATTGGTAGTGGGCATGCTTTAGTGAGCCCTGTGCAGTGCTGGCCCCAGCACGGCTGCAGCCCCGCAGCAGGACAGCAGTGTTCTGCTCGGAGAACGGCAGCACCATGCAGTGCCGGAGCCGCACACAGCCTTCCCCTTGCTCTGCACCCTGTCAGATTTTTAATGAATCAACAGGTTAATTAGTTCCCATGCACATAACGCGCTCCGGGGATGGCGGTGCTGCTGCATGCTCGCTGCCCGTGTGTGGGGCAGGATGCACCGGAGCCGGTGTCGGGTGCCAGAGCAGCAGCTCCCCGCGTGTTCAGCCCATGATGTTTGCAGTGTGGGGCACAGCCGCTGAGCGCCGGCAGCATCGTTCCTCACTCTGGAGCTCCCGTGCACACCGCGGGAGCAGCCCTGGCCCCTTGCAGGGCTCCCTGCCCCCCCCGTGGGTGCTCAGCTCCTTTCTGCTTTGTTCCCTCACCTCGCGAGCAGGGCGCTGGTGCTGGGGCCGGTTCGTGTGCCCGGAGCTGCCCCGGTGCAGCTCTTGGCCGGCCGTGCCGTGCGGTGATGCAGACCGAACGTCACCAGAGGAGAGCTGCAGTGAGGGCTCAGGGAGAATTTTAACGTGCCTTTCTGCCACAGGCTTGAGCATCTCCCTTTCCCCCTCCGAGCCGGAGAGCAGCGCCCGATGCAGCTGCAGGGGTCTGCTCCGAGGCAGGGTGGGCTGGAAGGTTGGATCCTTCCCCACGCACGCAAGGGTTGGGAGATGGGGGGCATGGCCCAGGCTGTCCAGTGCAGCAGCCCTGTGTCAGTGCCTCCTGGGCTTGGCTCGTTTTGACAAGTACGGCCACGGCCGCAGCTTATTTCTTGTTTATTCCTGATGGTTATCAGGGGGCCGGGTACGCGCTGTGCTCCCTTGGGCTGACCCCAGCACCACGCTGAGCAGAGCCTCGAAGGCAGCTGCTTCAGCCAGAGCCCAGCTCCGCTCGCCCGTTCCTGCTGTCACAGATAACCTGGTGCTGGCCAACTTTGCAGGCAGAGCCAAATCCTTTGAGCCATTTTTAAACTGATCCCTAAGACCGTCCATGTTGAAAGGCATTGGGCAACGGTGCGATGAGCTCACTCCCCCTGTCCTCCCCCCAGGTCTAAATCCAGGCAGTCTGTGTGCGGATGGGGTCTCATGTGGCTTTTTTATAGTGTTTGCTTTCTAATACGTTGTGAAAATTACCATTTGGGGAGGATTTGTGGGATCCTATTGTGTTCCTGGAGCTGTTAAAAACAGCTTCTGAGCTGGACTGGGATCTGTAACTCCCTGCTGGAGCGGTTCTGGTGGTGGCAGCAGCTGCACCGTGCTGGCTACAGGCCCCTGCTTACCACAGTGCCTGGTGGAGAAGAGGTCTGGGGGACCCTGTGTGCTGCACCGAGGCCCTGGGCCGGCTGGCGGGGGGGGCGGCAGGATGTGCTGGGGACACCGCGGTGTCGCTCGTCGAGTGGCGGCTTTCGCTGACCTCCTTCTGCTGTGCATTCGCTGCTGTGGTTTTGCTTTGCTATGCTGAGGGGAGCGCGCGGTGCCCAGAGCTGAGCCGTTCCCAGCTGCCGCGGAAGGGACCACGCAGCACCACGGGATGCTGGCCCGCCCGCTGCCCTGCTCCCATGTGCTGAGCCCCAGCAGGTGACAGGCAGAGCCCCCCGAGCTGCTGCCGCTCTCGGCGCTGAGCTCAATGAGCCGACTGCACCGTGCCTGTTTACATCGCGCAGGCGAGCGTATACATATGGTGGGTCTGTTTGTTTACACACACACATGCCTAGATAAGGGTAAATATATATGTTTAGAGTCTCGGAGCCTTCTGAGTGCTGTTCCCTCTTCACTGGTGTGGGAAGTGCACCCAGGAATGAGGGCAGCAAGGGGCTGAGCTGGCCTTGCACCAGCTTTGGCAAGCATGCGAGGTGCTCGCCCCAGTGATGGAGGGGACCTGAGGGACACGATCTGCCCCGTCACCATGCGGGAGCGCGGCTCCACGGCCACCCTTGGCTTGTGGCAGCATCGTCTGTGTCGTGGCACAGCACGTGGGTGAGTCGAGCAGGCTGAAGCGTGACCTTTTGGTGGCCAAGTGGCTGCAAGCCACGGCGCTGGCTCTCACTGGGGCTTTCAGGTCCCTGAACCCCCTGGCTGCTGCATGGTCCCTGTTTTCTTCCTCACCGAGTTTATGATTTTGAGTAATCGAGTGTATATTGAGTCGGCAACTCTTTAATTTTTTTTATAAAAGATTTCCTTTTAGGTTCAGCAAAGTTCAAACTTAATCTAATGTTAGCATCGATCGCTGCTTCTAATTGCAGGCAAAAAAGCCATAGTTCAGCAGCCCTTTTTGGGCCTGTTTGTGTGAAGGGAAAAATCCCGAGCTGCGATTGCGAGTGCCACACCGAGCCCAAAGTAATTTGTCATTGGGATGTCAAATATTTTAAAACTTTGTAAAAGGCATGGTTTCATTTTTTAGTGTTGATAGCAAGGGATGGGGATGGGATTCAGTTGGGTTCAGTAGTGGATGCTGAGCATCCACAGCCCAATTATACACAGGTGATGAGCTTGCTGGCAGCCTTTGCCACATGTGTTAGGATGGAGATACTCGGCTGGAAAATGAAAGTGCTTTGTGGCCATGGTCCTGGTGGCAGCTGCAAATGCTCGCTGTGGAGTGGTTTTGGCCAGAAGGTGCCTGTCCTTGCTGTTGCACAGGGGGATGCTCCTGTTTTGGGGTCTGAGTTTTGCATTTTGAGGCTTCATGGCTGAGCTATTGCCTAAAAGAGAGTGCTAAGGGTAGGAGTGAGGGGGCTTTGCTCTACCACCGTGGCTGCTGGCAGCCACAGCACCCCAGAATGCACATTTCTGCCCTCTTGTCCTGTTTCTGAAGTGCCAAGGAGCAGCAGATCTATCCAGCTGTTACCAGCAGGACCAGGAGTTAATGCTCCCATTGGTCCAAAGTGTTCCTGCTCGGGGAACCCACAGCTTCCCGTGGGATCCTGCAGTCCCTGTGGTGTGTAGCCGGTCGGTCTGCCACCCGCACAGAGCTGTAACGTTAACACCAGAGTAAACCTGAAGTAGCCACGTAGGGAAACGTTCCGGCATTTGGCTCTTTGCTCACCAGCCTCACCGCCTGGATTAGCTGAGCCTCATGCTCCTAATGCCATTAGGCACGTTGGCACTGCTCGACGTGGCACAGTGAGAAACAGATGCAGTATACCATTAAGGCACTAAACGTGATAAATCGGATCCCAAGTGCTTTGTGAGATGTTATTAGTGTTAATTTTGGTCGCCTGGTACAGTAGTTTTTTTTTATTTTATTTTAAGCATTCGGCAATTTATGTCCCGCTGCGGCCGAAACTTGAAAAAAGGAGGAAAAAGGAGGGGGAGGGAGGGAAAACCCGAGCCAGAGCCCCCCAAACTCTGCCCGTGATTACTTCCAGAGTCCGAGGATGACTTGGCGGCTCTTGTTTCTTGCTGATGGGCCTTATTAGCGGCACCTGGCATCATAAGGGGCTAATGGAAACCAGTGTTGCGGCTGCCTGGCCGCTGCTGCGCGGCGCGGGGCGAGGAAGCTCTTATTAGCTTTATGGGCAGGGGGACGTGCCCCGCTCAGGAAATGAATGTTGCAGCTAAGGTCCGCGGCGCTGACCCCGAGCGTGTAACCTGTGAGCACGGCGGAGACCCCGCTCAGGATGCTTGGGATTTCGGGGGCTCTCTGGTTCTTGTCATAGGCAGAGGGGGAATACAGCGGGCTATGTGCAGCCTTGAACTTTTGATTTATTCAGTGGGAGACTTAACCGTTTCCATACTTGGCTCCTGGTGCGGAGGGGGAAAAGCCCCCTTGGCTTCCGTGTTATTCCATCAATTATCCTGCATTGGTTTAGCTGTGTGTGTGTGATGCTCTTTAAAGCAAACCCCTGAGAGTCCCATCATAGAAAACACCAGTGTTACGTATTTTATTTCTATTTCCCCTTGCCCAGTGATGACTTCTGTGTGTTCCCTCCTGCCAGCAATGCCCGGTGGTGCTTCGATGCCCTGTGGCTCACTGATGGCAGAGGGGCTTCCAGGGAAGGGGCAATGGGGTTGCTGCTGCTTCCTGGGGCCCAGGGCAGGCAGATCTGCGC